GTAAGTAACATTATAGTAAGTAAAATAATATAATATATGTATATTATATTATTTTATATAGGTACCTACTACCTATAATTTGAAACGCAAAGTAGTCTCAGTGCACAGGTACTGTATACGCATAGATCCGTTCATAATATGATGGACAGTGTGTAATAAGTGTATACAGTCGCGAGTGCACCACATGACGTCTACAACTGCCAATGTACGAATTTCATCGATATTTTCGAGCATATTTCGAACGGATAAGAAAAAAAATTACCTAAACGCTCTTTGTATATTATATGGTTGACTGCTGCAGCCTACCCCTGCAGAGAACCTCAAGCGCTCGACTGCTGTGCGTCACCGATATATCGTCACGATAACTTTAGACGTATAATATGTATATATATATATATTATTATAGTGCAATATATCATTCTAATATCGTAAGAGTAGTGTATGGTAAATTATGTCTGTACACGAACGACGGGAAAACCATAATATTATAAATCGACCTCGCAAGGGGACAGTGCGCGCGCGCGTGGCGTTGACGACGTTGATGATAATAATAATAATAATAATATTATTGCGACACACACACACACACACTGTGGCGTCATTACTCCTCGTTATGTACGTTCGGTGTCGACACGTCACCCGGTTAGGTTTTTTTCCGTCTCCTTCGCGGAGCCTAATTTTTTACCATTAGCATCACCACCTCCACCGCGAGCACTGTTCACCCGCTGCTGAGAGAATTCGCGCAATGATAATCCGAAGTCCACGCCCTTCACCTCCCCCCCAACTTCTGCTTCCACTGTATATACTATTATATACACACACCGTTCTTTCACCTCCGCCATCACGACTACCACCAGCCCTCGTCCGCCGGGTCGCAGTCTTTAAGATTTCCATGGCGTGGAGAGCGCAGTGGGTGTGAGTGTGTGCGAGTGCGTTTGCAAATCATGATAATTTAGGAAGACGAGTACAGATATATCATTACGCGCGTTTGATCGTGTATACATATATAATATATATACGAGTGCGTGTGGGTGTGTGGGTGTGTGTGTGTGTGTGTGTGTGTGTGGGTGTAACGAAATTACCACGGTGCACGCCGATTTTGTTTACCTACTCATCAAACGCACGCCGCCGGGTCGTTAATGCCAAAATATATACAATGACATTATAATATTATATGACATTCGCGCATTTTCCAGCAAAGTCCAACCCACAGCCCACCCTCGCCGCAGACGTTGCGTTTGTCGCGGTTTCCGTTCCTCGTCCTCCGCCCCTCCGGCCGCCACGTCGTCACGTGGTTTGGCCACATAATATACGCGGGTGGGTACGCACATTTTCGTATAAAATCTAAAGGTTTACTTCACACACACACACACACACACACACATGACTACAATATCAGCTACTAATATTGTATCCGTCGAGGAAATCGATTAAATATTTTTCCATTTTTCCGACGCCGCACGACGTCAGGTGTAAGACGTATTTCGCAGCGAGTATTTCGAGGTTTGAAAACTCATAATAATGATAATATTATGTCGTGTACAACACTATAATATTACACTCGGTTAAGACATATAATGTTATGCAGTACTGCGCCGTGCGTATTGTAGCGAGCGGTCGATATAAGTCCTACGACGTTCGGATCGCATGGCAGGCCGGAAAAGCGGTGCGTGGAAAAGTGCTGGTGCTGGTGGCAGGATGGTTCGCAGCCTAGTGCCGAATAAAATAATATTTGCGTTTATTTAATACGTGCACTGAGCGCCGGCGAGGATCGTCGTAATATATTCATAAGTCATATAACTATATAGCGGATTGCTGAAAACGGTATGTCTACAAACAAAAATTGTCGAACAAATATAACGTTCACGTCTTCGGAAAATTAGTATGTACCCTGCGACCTAGCACGACACAGACGCCGGCGATGACTATTTGCGTGTATGAAATAACACGAAGCTTAATAAGTCCAAACCAGCCCGAAGAGTGTTGTACGATTTTATTTTTTTTTTCCCATACCTACGGGTTTTCCAAACGATAGCGTGGCTGTAATATTTTCCGGACGGAATTGGTTTTTCAATAATATTCTTCTCAAATATTGAACGAAATACCCACCATCCGGTGATGTTGTGATCGTTTAACGATAATGCTATCAATAATATTAATAACAATAATGAACGCCCTGACATATTATTATAATATTAACTATAATAATTATTATACTCGTGTATATTCTGTTTTCGCTTTGTGGAAATTCGGAATGCAAATTAAATAAGTTTAACCGTGCGTACGAGAGGATTAACTACTGTGCGGCTCACTCTCTCTCTATCTTTCTCAGCACCAACAACAATACTATATCTACAATACTATATTCTATACTTTATCAATGTAAACACGCGCTATCGCGGTCTCAGACACTGCTTCGGCTTTAGAGTTCCTGCTCGACGATGTATGTTATACGTATATATTACTATTATTAATAATATTATTATCATTATTATTATACACGATACCGACACAAACTCGCAACGTATCAGCGATAATATATATATTAATACATATCTAAGTAACAGACATATACAATACGACTGTTATTAGATAATATTAATTCAAGTATAACGATAAGAACTCCGAGTGGTTGTGTGTCAGTCGGCAGTGGTTGTTCGTCAATCTCAAGTTCGGTATCCTTCGCCCTAATAGATCGTTACTAAATGGCGTACGTTGACGATAGACACATAATACATTAATGTAAGTACGTAAATTCATTATTACCTGCGTCGTTCTTAAGAGAATCTGTTAAAGGCTATAGGTTTCGTGTTTTTTACTTAGACTATAGGGTTCTCGAATTAGAACAAAAAAAAAAACAAATATTAAAACTTAAAAAGTAATACTATTTGCATAGCGTAAAATTTTAAGTTTCATACAGAAATAACTAAGGTATATCTTAGAAATGTCGCAGTACCAATATAATATTATACTTAAAATGTATCTAATAAGTAAATAACTATTACGGTCAAGCATATTATTATCATAATGGAACAAATATAACAGGACAAAACCATCGAGTTGTACCTACAGCAGTAGTACTTTTAGAAAACCCATGCGATTTTTTTGTTCCATGCACTGTTCACGATAACCTTAATTTTCTTGGAGCTTTTTTAATGGTTCATAACAGCTTTTTGGTTCAATTAAATTACACTATTTTGTCCGCTTCTACCGAAAGATTTTACACGGAAAAACGAAAACAGTTGTTTGTACTTTAAAAATAGTAGGATTGACTGTACATTATAATTGCTATAGGGACAGCTATAAGGTTAGTCAGATTTACTAAAATATCATAGTCAAGTTATTATAGTTATTCAAACTGAAATACGATATTTTAACTATATTTTTTAGTCAATTGAAACATTAAAAACTATTAACTATAAAATATAGTAAACATTACCCTAACAAATAACTATATTTATTCAGTCATAATAAGTAAATCATTTTAGTTATTTTATCTATAAAATAGTTATATATACTATAATTTGTTTAACTACAACATTATAGTATTTTTTTTTCCATGCATTCCCACAAAGATCAATTATATTGTTAACTATATCCACATAGCATAGATACTTTTATTAAATCATAAATAAATGTTGACATTTTAATGTTCATTGTTTAATAAATGTGAAATTTAGATTGAACCACAATCATTTTAAGATTTATTTTACCTTGCATAAAAGTCATTTGGACAAAATATTTAGATTTATTAAACCCTTGTTTTACTATGCTTAATAAACATTATTTATATATTTATTATCAACAAATTCAATATTGAAATTAATATTTTTTAAACAGTATCTCACATTTGTTAAACATTAATACTACCAAATTTAAATATTTATTGGATGCTGGCATGCTGCTGTATTTAATGGGGTATTTAATTAAGGGCTTGTATATTAATGATTTATTTTATATTAATGATGCCTAGATATATAATTTACAGTATTTGGATTATAGGTACAGATAATATATTGTTGAAAACCAAATACATTTGTAATATATACTATTACATACTATACTTATAAAGTACACTAAAATATAAAATTAAAAAAAGCTACAACAGCTATAGTTTATTTAGATAATTGTATAATAATATAAATGTTACAATTGAAAGTCAATTTTATAATAACTAATATGAATACCCACATATGAATGATAATCATATAATATACAGTTAACAAAGATAATAATTAATATTAATAATATTAGAGGACGTTGTACCTGTATGTGTTGTCTCCATAGTCTTACACGCGTATACGACATGGCAAATTTTCATTCTTTAGTTTCAATAGTGTGTTGTCAGTTTTGATAATAGGTCAAATCATTATTATCAAAACTGACAACATACTATTGAAACCTTAGATCATAATACAATTATATATGATCTAAGTTTGAAACTGGCTAATGAATATTTACTATGTCATACTACGTGTATAAGATGGAGACAATAAACATGCGAGTACAACGTCCTCTTAATAAAATATTAATTTCTACATAATATGTAATATGTAATTAAATAAAAAATATGAGTTGTATACATAGGTAATTATAGTTATCCATTAAAAATTAAAAATACAATTTTTGACCCAAAAAATAATTCTTATCACTATTGTACTACTAATTATTATTAAACCCTGAAAATGAAACAAACATAATAAAATTTTTCAAAACATCCCAAGATATTGAAATTATGAAATAAGAAAACACTAAAAAACTTTATAAGATACAAATAGTTTAAAAAAACATGTATTTAGATTTTGTAAAAAATCAATTAATTATCTTTTGTAAATGTAAACTAAAATACTAATGGCCCCAGTAGTCGAAGTGGAAATTTCTTTTTGTTAAATTTCAAGTTCAATAAAAAATAAAATAAAATAATAATTACTATTAATACATTATAAGAATAGCGAAATTTTGTTTTTAGATTACAAATATAGAGATTTAAAGAAATTATATTAGGATTGTTCCATAACTGTCGTGGTATGAATAGTAGATTCTTTTTGCCTTTTTAATTTAAATGGTGTTTGAATTAAAACATATTTGATGACTTGCTCTATTTGATTCGTTGAGTTATCTGAAGCAGCAAACTTTTTTATTTTGAATACAGACTCTGAAAAATTAAAATTACTAATTTAATTAATTCACATAGCAATTTAAGACTTTATATAGCAGGGATGGCAAATCCATGGCGGCACGCAAAAAGATTTTGAGGGCACGCCAAGAGTTTTACTCTAATTATTAGGCAAACATATTAAAAAATAAATTTTTTTTACGATATTGAATATAACATTCAATATTATAACAATATAATATTTTCATGGCACGCTCTAAAAAAAAAAAAAAAATGGTAATTTTTGGCACATAGTATTCAAAAGGTTTGCCTTCCCTGTTATATATAGTAACAATGTCAAAGGTAATGACTAATGAGCCCATCCTAAAATGCTCTGATCCTTAACTTGGTCCACCCGAGCTGCTGTCACCAAGAGTAAAATATGGTATCTCATGAATTATTTTTTGTTGTTTATACTCAATATCAATAATATTCACCAATAAAATTACATAATACCATAGTTAACTTTTGAACAATTTAATCTGCAGCTGAACACTGTAGTATAGTGTATAAGTATGAAAACATTTTAAACATTTGAGTCAAATGTATGATTTTATTGTAATACAAATTTTATTTTGAAATAAAGTTCAATATTATCATAATAATAATATGCATATTCCAAATGTTTTAAAAAAACTTTTTTTGAAGGTTAATGAGAATTTTCTCTAGACAATAATAGATCATTGTTGAAAATAAATTATATTATTATCATCATGTACACCTAATATAAAAATCTGGGTTATATACTTATATTATAACTATTTATGAAATTATTTATTATCCAATAATATTTAATTTAGAAAAGATTCTAAACATATACTTAATTAATTATAGTAAATATAATATAACTTATTATTTGATTATTTTCTTGGTAGACTTAAGAGTTTAAAGAAATTCAGATACTTTTATTAAGACTATCGACATTTTTATTATTCTTAATGATTCCCAAATTAAATTAAATTTAAATGCAAATTATTACCAATTGATATTTAATACATTTTGTATATTCTTACCAAAAATTATTTTGTTTATTAATAAGCCAGCAAAATTTCGCTTTTTGTTACAACGGCCATTGTAGGAAAATGTTATTAATAGTTCTGGGTTGAATACCATAGTCATTATCCGTTTAACCATAGCTGCAATAGATTTTCCTCCAACAGAGGAAAGTCGTTGTACCTATTAAATTATCAATTTATTAATTACCTGTCTTTATAAATAAAATGTTTGAATTTTTAAACTTAAAGATCATAAATACTTACAAAATATGAACGATAAGTCTTGTCTCTAGCTATTTTACTTTCTATTTCAATTAATTCATCATATGTTTTGATAGGTAATTCATTATCAAATTGTGAAAATTGAGAAAATGTTGCAGTTTCTTGTGATATTGATGATATTTTTTCATCTTCTGCTAATTTGAGTATTATGTTTATTTTCTCATCCATTGAGCGCATTTCATATTTTAGAGTAAGAAGTTGATGAATAACTGACTTTTTAAAAGTATTATCTGTTAACAAAAAAATTAATTTAAATTAGAATAATACTTTACAAGATAATTTAATTTAGCAAACAAAAGAACTAGAAGAATTAAAATTATAATTACCATCTTCAATATTTTTTTTATTATTTGATGTTTGATTTCTAGATGCTGATTTATTTGCTGTAGACAATAGTAAAATATAAAATATAAAATAAAAAAACGATACTAAACAAAAGTTAAAAATTATTTAGATACCAACCAGAGAATAGATGTTTTGGACTATCCTGGATACCAATATCTGCTGGAAATAAGCTTCGTTTTACTCCTTTAAAATAAGCAGTAGTAAGAAATAATTTTAAAAAAACCAACAAATTTAAATGTTCATACCATAAGACTGAGATGAATTCATTGTTGGTGACACACTGGTATTGCCATAAGAGTTTTTTTCTAAAAAAATATAGTAAGTACATGAAATTATATAAAAAAAAAAAAATCAAAATTATAGTATGTATAGTTGTTAATAAATTGAATAAAAATACCAAATATTGGAGATTTTGTTGTCTCAATTAGTATTTTTGATGCTGTGATATTATTTGTAGAAGTATGAGGTATTTTTTCTGGGTTATCCAATACCATTATAGGACTCATAATTTTGTCTATAAAAATATAGATATATTTAATTTTTAAATATGGCCATTATCGGATATATTCATAATTAGGGCTCGGACCTTAATGCACTTAAAACTATTAATCACCGAATATGCAAAAATATGCACTATAAATTTCTAATATTTTTTTCTTAGTGTCGTCAAGCTTACTTATTAACAATAAATCTAATAACCCAAAAAACATGCAAATGCAACAACTTCCGAACCCTAGTTATAATTTATTATAATATATATTATATAGTTATAAACCTAGTACCTATTTCACCTCTGTTTAAAGAAGTTTTTAATGGAGACCATCCAGCTAACTTTTTATTACTAGAGTCTGGATCTAATACAACATAAATATATAAATGTTAGGTATGTTATTGTAAGAGTTTAAGACTGATTTATAAACTAGTAAAAAATATTATATGAAAATTAAAATTAAAAAATGTACCTAGGTACTCAATTGTTATTAAATGATCATTTATCGTAGAAAAACAGTATAAAATTAAGGAAAAGATTAATTACCTGAATGATAACGTGGAATTGAATTACTGTTGTCATCAGATTGTTCATAGTCTAAAAAAAAAACTTACATATTATAGTAAAACAATTTAAATAAAATATATTTTAATAATTTTATTAGAGTAGGTAACATCAAGTTAATTGTAACTATACTAAAGTACACTGAGCCAAAATATTAAATTGATAAAAACAAACCAGATTCTGAACTTGGGGTCTTTTGTTTTTTTAATATCTTATAACTCTTTCGTTTAAAATTATCTTCTGCAGAGGAAAGATCAGATTGGATCCTTGCCTTTTCACATTTTTTTTGAGCATTTGAAAAGTTATCTTAAATAAAAAAAAAAGATTGTATGCGTTTTAGCTGTATCTACTTTGTAGTACCATATTTAATTTAACAATAATGTATGGGTTAATATTTCTTTATTAATTATTACTTATTAGTAGGACATTTACCCAGTGCTCGTCTTGAGGGGGGACCAACTAATTTTTCAGAAATTTTAGCGTACCCCTACTTTTATTATAAGGGGAACACACGAGACGCTGCATTATTCTGCATTTTTATCAAAATGCACACCATAACATTATAATTTTTCTTACCCTGGATTTAATAATATAATATAATTTATTATTATTTAATTAATTATCTTTGATCATGTGATTCACATATAAAATTGGAAGATAAGAAAAAACATATCTATGATAAATTATGGAACTATTTAAATAAATAGTTAAAATGAATTGTTTTTTAAACACGTGATGGGGACGCTCTTTTTTTAAAAGTTAACAGAGTCCCCCTACTTTAAATTTGCCAAGTCGAGCACTGCATTTACCTACATATTAATTATTATATGTAATTATATATGTTTATGTATGTAGGCACTATTATACCTATATATTATGGCTATATAGTTAAGACTAATTATTATACTTACCAATATTACTAGCGAAACAACGCGCCTTATAAAATGTAAAATCTTCATTGTTTGGTCGGATTTTATGAAGAATTGCCTTTTTTAAATCTTTTTCGTTTAAAGATTTGGGCCAAGCACAATATCCGTTTTTAATTTTCATCCATTTGTCAGGAACTACTTCGACAGTATTATCCGAATTAAAATTCACTACAGACCATGTCATTGTCTATGTTTAATGCTCAATGAAAATTTGAATCACAATATTTAAAATAATAACGGTTCACAACGCGGCGTTCTATGACGGTCGGCGGATGGAGAATCGAGTATAATTATTGCGTGTAAATTGATATAATTATAATATAAATAATGCACCATACGCGCCGGACTAAGAATTACTACTTGGCGGACGGATAAAAGGGAATGAACTATGAACATGACAAAATAAACGGGTATGACAATGACAGCAATATTTCATTCTGATGATTTTCTGTGCAAATATGGCGCACGTTATACTCCAATTCTCATTAGTCGAGAATTGATCACATGACTTATCAAACATAGATATTTTGTCTTGGGAATGAATATCATAAAATAGTTATTACTGTCTGCGTTGTCGTCGTGATCGACACACGCCGATAACGATACATCAATCTATAAATAATAAAATAATAATAAAAATATATATAATAATAAATGGTTGTCGTCGTGGTCGGCCCGACGACTGTCCGAGTCCGACACTCCGACGCACTGCGATAACGCAACCAGATATAAAAATAATAATATTTAAAATAGTAAAATCGCTACAGCAGTACAGCACACTTCTTTTCTTAAGTTTAATTTTGAGGCATAATAATATGTTAAATATCTACTATTACCTTAATTTTTTATTGCCATCAATAATTATAATTATTTAACCATTTAAGAGGGTTGGAACTTTGGAAGTATTTATTGATTCTTTGTAACCGATTATTTTATTTGGTACCTACTACCTACCTAATAATTTGGTAATTTTTACTACAATTTGATTAGGTACTAAATTAAATTTCATATTTTATTTTGACATTTGTTTGCTACAGAGAATATTTTGTTAGTTAATTACTAAGTAGTATGAGTCATCGTGCTCATAATAATATGAGTAGGTCAACAAAAAGGAGACGTGTTCTTCAAGAGATTGAGAGCTTAATACATTTTGACACTGATTATGAATCAGATCACGATAATACACAATTTGAAGACCCATTACTACAAGAAGATACTAGAGATGTTTCACAGTGCTTTGATACAACGATTTTTGAACAAAATCAGTTATTGGAAGGTAAAAAATAAATTATAATTTATTCAGATAGGTGTAATATGTTAGATATTTAATTATTTATTTTTTTATAACATCGATTGGAAATGGGTTTAATATTTGCTGTAAATCAAATAAAACAATTAAACCTACACTAAATATGATTATAAAATGTAGGTTCGTAATTACATACGTAAATAGTAAATACGTAATAATAAGAAGTAGCAGAGGTCCGTCGCGCGTCGTGGCTTAGATGACCGGACGACGTCTAATTAGTAAAATACCTATTACTTTATTTTTAAAATGAACTACATTCGATTACCCATGTATACACTGGACGTTTCCAGTCATACGATAAAGAATTATTTTTAAACTATTAAATATATTATATAGGTAATATACACACTACACACATATGAATATAAATTATAATATATATAAAATCTAAAATAGACTTAGATAAATAAAATATTAATATTCTATAAGTTATAATAATTATGTTTTATTTTATTATATTTAATTTGTAGTATAAACTGTTATTATTCTGTTATTTTATATGGGTATATTAAATAAACTAAAAAGAGAAAAAATATATTTAAACTCAATAGTATTAAATAATTTATCCAGTTTTAACCCTTTTTTAAATTTTAGGTTCTGATATTCCCGAAACTGGAAGTATTTTATCCTTTTCAAATTCTGCTGGAGATTTTTCTAATTTATTTGACGACAGTGATAATAATACAGTTGAAAGTTCAAGTGAAGAAGATAACACAGAATTTTCTGATAACTCACCCCGTACTCAACTCGCACAATGGGCTATAAAACATAATATCACCAATATAGCAATGTCTGATTTACTTAAAGTGTTAAATGCCTCTTACGATCAATCATTACCTTTAGACGCAAGGACTTTATTAAAAACTGATATTTCTAGTAAAACTTCTGTTAATTTAAAAAACATGTCACCAGGATTTTACTATCATTTTGGAGTTTTGAATGGAATAAAAAATCATTATATTATTGAAAATAGTCATATTAATGAACCAATAAAACTAGTTGTAGGAATAGACGGACTACCGTTAACTAAAAGTTCTAAAAGCACGTTTTGGCCGATTTTATGCTATATTCGTCCGTATTCACACATTGTGTTTCCAATTGGACTATATTGGGGCAATGAGAAACCACAAGAAAGTAATGATTATTTATTTGATTTTGTTAACGAGATAAAAGATCTTATTAATAATGGAATTGAAATTAAAGTCAGTTCAGGAGAGTTTATTAAAAAACAAGTTATTTTAGACGTATTTTGTTGTGATTTACCTGCTAAAAACTACATTTTGAAAACCAAAGGGCACAACGCATATTTTTCATGTTCTAGGTGTTGCATAGAAGGGGAATATGTATGTAGAAGGGTGTGTTATCCTGACATAGACTGTCCTAAAAGAACTCACGAAAGTTTTATAAATAAAAATCAAGAAGAATATCATGTTGGTGAGGTAATGTCAATCCTTATTGATATTCCTGGAATTAATATTATTAATTCATTTTCACTCGATTACTTACATATGGTATGCATAGGTGTTACTAAAAAAATAATTACTTTGTGGCTTAAAGGCCCCTTACATTGTCGTTTAAATAGTACCAAATGTAAATTTTTGAATGTTAATTTATTAGCACAAAAATTGTTTATTACATGTGACTTCCAACGTAAACCTCGTGGTGTCGATGAAGTTTTTCGTTGGAAAGCTACAGAATTTCGGACTTTTTTACTTTATTTAGGCCCTGTCGTGCTTAAAAATATAATAGATAAAAAATTATACTCCCATTTTCTTTATTTAAATATATCTATGCATATTCTTTTAAAAGAAAATAGTAGTAGTAGTCTTTTAAATTTTAGTAATGAGCTATTAAAGTATTTTGTTAAGCAATTTGCCTCAATTTATGGTATTGAATGGATTTCTCAAAATATACATGGCTTACAACACATCACTGATGATTATTTATTATTTGGGTCTTTAGATAACTGTAGTAC